TATGATCGAACCTTTGGTGTTCGGTTGAGAACCTGGCTCCTGTAGAGAAATAAAGCACTGCAGTTCTTCATCACGATCACCTTGGATACTATACGCAAGAAGAGGTCTGATTCTGTAAAAGCCCCGATTTCGTAGACTCAGATGAAAAGTCATTGCTCCGAAATGGTAGGAGATCAACCTAAGGAGAAAGAAAAGAGCACATAAACATCGAGTGCAGAATTAAAGAAAAAAACACGAGAAACATAACTCGCTTTACTTTTTACCTTCTCGTATATGAACATTAAAGAAAAAGCAATGCGATAATAGAAAGATTATATAGAAAGATAGAAAAGGTATTACAAAAATCTCCACATTTTAGATCTCCCTGAATGTTAAAAAAATCATTATGGGGATTGTGCCAGTTTTGTACTGTACTATCCTATGTGTAAACACGATAGTTTAATTACATTAACGTCCCGTTTCGAAGCAACACAAGGGCTATTTGGGGACGAACCTCGTAATTTTGAACTGCGGTCAGATGACGAGGACGACACTTGAGCTGACACCCCCCTCTCCAAACTTCCGCACCGCACCAGCGGGAGAAAGTTTGGACACTAAGTACGATTTAACGTGTAACAGGCCCCATACACGGTGGATCTTCAGTGGAATCGGGTTTCGAACTTGGAACCCTCCGGCCCCGAAGCTGAGGCCTGTAAACTCGATAATTCAACAATGCAAAGGTCTAAACGGATGAAATTCGGTATATGGTCTTAAACACCAAAACTGAAGATCTGTATCGAATTTTGGACGAAACTTGTCGACGGGAAGTTTGTCTGCTTATCCGTTCATGTGCATGTGATTAATGAAGCTCCTAGATTTTCATTGTGGTTGAATTTGTCATTTCCTTTTGTCTGAAGAGAAATAAAGCATTGGAATTCTTCATCGCGATCACCATGGATACTATATTCGAGAAGAATCTAGAAGACTATGCTAAATCACTTGAAATAATTTCAAATAATTGAGCTTAGGCAAAATAATTCAGAATTCCTTATGAAAAATTCTTTCCAAAGTTCAAAATACTGCTTCAGAACTCCAAAATAGATTCAAGCTCCAGAAACGACAACAGGTAACTTCGCTTGCTCTAGACAATTTATATACCAAACCAGCGGGAGTGGTCTCCCCCAAACTTTCTTGTATACTTCCCCAAAAAGGTGCTATCCCCCCGCGTGGATAAAAAAATTCGAACCTACTGTAACCCAGAATCCAATGACTATCAGAAGGTTTTAAATTGTAGATTATAGTGATTGTAAAATATTTAGGTAAAGAATCAAATTCAAAGAGATGCGTACCGAATAACACTCATTTATCACACACTTCCACTCTTGCCGACTCAAGAACAAAGCGACGTAAATCCTTCCGCGCGCACAGAGATTGCTGCCAGTATGTATGCGTATGGAGAATCGGATTAGAAAAATTAATTATGCAATTTGAACGCCTTTTTTTAAACCACCGATTAAAACGATATTTGGGGATAGATTTATAATTAATGTTAGCAACCGTCATATAAATTTTTATTTATCTAAGCTAAAGGGTTTAGGAGATATAATTTTTACAAGTATACGATTATACAGTCCGACAGACCATCAACCCTTCGACGGATTTGGGTCCAAAATTTGATACGGACCTACATTCATGATGATACAACTGTGTACCAAATTTTATCCATCTAGCTATTCCAGTTTTTGAGTTATAGTGTTCACAAGACCGTGGACAGACAGATTTCCCGTGGACGGATTTTGTCCAAGATTTGATAGAAACCTACAAATTATGTGTAAAGATCACATACCAAATTTCATCCCCGTAGCTCTAGCAGTTTTCGAGTTGTGTTCACAGACAGACATAATTCCAAAATTGTGTTTTTCGGACTCAAGGAGGTATAAAACAATGGAGTTTCGTCAAAATCTCGAGTTCGAATATTTTGACGATTACAATACTTTCTCGTTGTATACTTCGTATACGAGAAATTAAAAAGAAAATGAACGTATTCTGCAGACATCTATTAACATGTCCTACTTATCTAAAGTAGAATGTAAATCAAATTCTAGTGAACAGAAAATTTTCTTGGAAGACGAGTTGTCTCGTCCGTAGCAGTGAATGTGTTAAGTCAAATGAATATATAGAAATTGAATCAACTATTGCCTACTTCATTTCAAGATGCTCGCTTACACCTCACCTAAAGAATGTTTATATATGTAATAATCTCGCTTAATTTTACTTTAAATTCCAATATTATATATTTTTAAAAATCTTATAGTACAAACTAATGTATTCCAAAATCACTTTTCTTAAACTCCAGTTTCGTTTCATTTCCCACCCTGGAGGTATATTAAATCACGTATTTTGATATATTCATTACTAAAAGAATACTTTAATCGCTTCCACACGCGCCCACAGAAATCACGAATCAGTGACTTGTTGGCGCCACACTTTTCCCTAAAACACCTACGTAGCTTGCTGAAAATAGCTAATATTCCCTTCACTTAATCACGTGTCTATATGTTAATCCCCTATCAGAGAACGCAGGGATTTTTCGATCTCTTTTGGCTTGTAAACCTCGTGTAAAGATGGACGTATATCCGCCACTCTCCACATTACGTGATAATTGATAAATAAATGAAAATTAGCTCTTTACTCGGCCTGTTTATTATTTATTAATCACTACATCATACGAAATTATTATATATGAATGATTTCTTTGTTGCAGTCGTTAAATAACAAACAGGCCGAGTTATTAAGTTCATTTATTATGGGACAGTGGCAGACATACGTGCATCTCAGTTGAAGTTTCAAGTCAAAAAGCGAACAAAAAATCCCTACATTTCCTCAGGTAGGGATTTAACATAGACACGTGATCAAAGTGAAGGTAGTAATAGCTATTTTTACTAAATTACGTAAGCGTTTTCGGGAAAGTCTGGCGGCAAAGAGATGCCGTCATGATTTTCTGTGGGCACTTGAAAGCGATTAAAATATTCTTTTAGTAATAAATATGCCAAAACGAGAGATTTAATATACCTCCAGCGCGGGAAATAAAACGAAACTGGAGTTTCAGAAAAGTGATTTTGGAATACATTAAGACTTGAAAATATATAATATTAGAATTTAAAGTAAAATTGAGTGAGATTATTAGACATATATACTTTTTTCTTCTTTTTACTTAATTTTCTAATACATGTTTCGTTATTCGAAGGAAAAAATAAAACTGGAAGAAAATTATCGAGATTCGATGGAGCTTGAAGTCTGACTCATAACTACAGATATACCAGTTAGTTAAAGTATCTCTATTCAGAGCACTATAGAGAAAAACATAGCTGTCGTACGAACGCGAAAACTCGGTGGTATGCATTTCAAAACATAAGGGGCAAAAATGTCCCATAAACGAACATAGGAGAAGGTAGGCGAACAGCCTATAATATATCGTTATCGTTCAGGCAGAAGTCACTCAGTCCACAAAAACCTTTTGACGGGCTATGCAGTCAATTATAATTTGTAATCAATTATTTCATGATAGAAACTTGTCATCTAAATATCAGTAAATCTACAGTAGCAGCTAGAAATCTGTAAAATAATTTTTGGTAATTACCATAACGACTCAAAACTAATCCAGTTTAAACCGACCACATCTCGAAACTATGGTTTGGGACTTGGTGACTTTTGCATGAACTATGACGATATACAGAATTCAATCATAGTCATCATGCATATTGATTACGATTTGTAAGTGATAAAGGAGTGCATATACTAACAATAAATGCTAGTTTAATTAGCATTTTATTTAATTTAGCGAGTAGTCAAAAAATTTTAAAAGCTGTTTCCTCTGACAAAAGCATATTTCCAATCTGCCACATTTGAAAATTATAAATAGAACAGATTACACCTCTTTGCTTACAGTTCAGTGCATTCAGCGTAACATCTATTTTCGAAACAGTTTACAGAGTTAACTTTTAAACCACATAACTTAAGAGTTATAAAAAGTGTCATGCAGTAAGTTATTTGAATTGATTAAATATCAAATCAGTGCAAATATATTTTAGTATTACAGAATACATCTACAGATAAATTTAAGCAGAAATTGAATAGCAATATTAAAATGAAGTTATAAATTTTACAATTCAAATATGTGCTTATTGAACCGAAAATTTCCCAATACTGCATGTAAATATTTAAAAAAAATGCAATTATTAATTGCAACTTAATTTCCAAGGTTCTGAAAAATGAAAAATGTTTTTCCAAAGTAAATGCATGATTTAAAGATTTAATCAACACAAAAATCTAATAACAAATGGCACATTTTTAGTTGAGATCTGCAGCATCTATACATCTGAAGAGCACATCAGTTAACTCTCATATGACTAATTATTCAACATTTCATTGTTTCTTAGCTTTTGAAGCACTCTGAGTTTCTATCTTCCTACTTAACTCATGAAGCATGGTGGGTTATTTTTTGAATCACTCTGAATGATGCATCTTTCACGCATTCTTGATGAATAGCGCTTATTATAAAAATCATATAGCAAAAACAGGCAGATTAATTTTTAGGAATTGAAGCAAATTTAAAACAAGTAATAATAAAAAAATTAAGTCAATTCCTACTTAGGTCAACAAAGAAAAATTTTAGAAATTTTTTCTCCCATATAAAACTAAAATTAATTAATTAAATTTAATTAATTAATATTTGAAAAAACTGTATTAACATCAAGTGTCATCCACTACAAGTTCTAAAAAATGTATTTGAACTTGCGTGGATGAATAAAAAGTATTTTATTAAAGATTGAAAATTTAAACAAGATATATAAATATATATAGGGAGAGTGTGAACTAATAGTAGGAATTGAAGAAAAAAATAGACCCAAGTTTATCCATTCAAACGGGGAACCTAAACATTTTTGGATGCAATTGCCAACAAGAAATATTTTTCAGAATATAAATTAAGTGGAAAAATGATATGTCTTGAGTAAATCTCTTGACCCGGACGCGAATTGAACACGCAGTCTTCTGATCTGGAGTCAGACACGCTACCGTTGCGCCACCGAGTTCCGTTCCGCATTTCTTATCCCTACACCATGATCGTAGCCTGTGCGAGGCTCTAATAAATAAAATTAATTAATTCAATTTAATTAATGAATTAATATTTGAAAAACTGTATTAACATCGAGTGTCATCCACTACAAGTTTTAAAAACTGCATTTGAACTTGAGTGGATGAATAAAAAGTATTTTATTAACGATTGAAAATTTGAACAAGATATATAAATAATTATATATAGGGAGAGTGTGAACTAACAGTAGGAATTGAAAAAATATTTTTCAGCTTCTTAAAGCGCTAAATCAATCCTTACACTCATACGTGTATAATTATGCATCTTATTATTTTCGTGCCCCAAAGAGTTAAATAAGGTTTTTAAGAAACGTAATAAAGTTATCAGCATTATGTATTTATTCAAAAACTGGTAGACCGACTTGCGCTTCAGCAACGAATTATTCGCTGTGGTCGGGCTGGCTGTTCGAAATCTTCCCCGTTTTACTCCAAGAGAAATACAAATGCGGACCAGTTCTCCCTGAAAGTCTTCCGGGAAACCAAGCTACCCGTATATATGAGAAGTTAGATTTCTACCTCAAGTGCCACCTATATGCACCAAGTCTCTCTGGCCAACAGGCGCTGTCACACTTTCCCTTTTTCATGGCTTCTTGACTCATAGACCCATAGCTCATGCTAGACATTCTTATCCAATTGGGATAAATCATAACAACAATATAGATTTTATTCTGTTAGATTAACATAGAATTATGAAGCTACACGAGGACCAGTTGGGATAGACCTCATGATTCCGAAATGACATCAGATGACTAGAAACAATATCCAACCCATATCACACAAACGTTTGACTTCCGACGACAGATTTAGCATCGAGTCTTGAACCCGAGATACTCCCATCTCCGAGCCGAGAGGCCACACCGGTCCCAAACCTATATTAAGTAGTTCCACAGAGAAGTTCGCAGTTACTTCATGCAATAATTTATACTGTTACTTCCTGTTACTGTTCTGGATCCACACAATTAATAATGACAGTTAGTTGAACACCACGATCAACAAGCTTTCATATTGCAATTTCTGCAAACTATACCACAAAACATGAAGTACACGCCATATTATATAGCAAAACCTTATTTCTAGATTGTAGTGAAACCACTTGGGTATAAAAAACAGTGCGCCGAATTATTTTGGTAATCGATAGTTAAGTCGTTTAAGAAAACTCATGCATCATTTCTTGTAAGGATTCAATGTTGCCCGACTATAAATACCTCGCGAATTAAATACCAAGTTTCTAAAATTCCCCATATTTGATAGCTTTAGAGACACCATTGTGTTTCGATACCCAATTCTCGACTTCTTTGAATTAACCACTTTACCGGTCGATTTTTCTACTATCTAATTAGATGCCGCCTTTTATTTTGGGAATGCGTTGCCGTTTTGATTCAACATAAAGACCACAGAACACTTGGTACTTATAGATTCAACATAATTATTGTATCGAATCCAAGTCTACGAACAATTTCATTTTAGTTTATAAATTTAAAAGTATGATAATTCAATACACGTGCAACGAACGGGCAAATTCAGAATGTTGGTTAACATATTGTCGATTTCTAAACTATCAAAAAATAGTACAAGAATTACAGTGCATATTTCAGAGCTCCGAATTGCTATAATGTATGTAGTGAAGCAATGATTTTTTTTTTACTTCAAGAAGTTGTGGAATGTGTGAATAGGATAGGTGTGCGTTGCAAGACGAGATTTAGTGCTTCACCTGACGTTTTCTTCTTTTTTCAGTTCCTCTAGAGATGTAAACCGAATGCCGAGAAGAAATTTTTTGGTGTAAAAAAAAAAAAAAAATGGGTCACGGGTGGGAAAATAGTATGAAGAAGACCTGCTCTGGGAAATGACATTCATTGCATTCCTTATTTTTTTTAATAATTTACACCTTAAATAACATTCCTCGCGTCATTTTCAGATTTTATACCAGTACAATTGAATGGATATTAATTCTGATAAGGTCACTTACCAATTTACCACAATTTCTGCTGTTTTGTTTATGCGTAAATTTTCAGGCACTGAAAAAGCCCTCCACTCCAACTACGGTTCAAGGGCAACGAGTATTTTCAAAAGAAAACCTCACGAGAAAGTCTGCTGATTCATTCATTTAATTGTTGCAAAATACCGGAAATGTCAGTATGCGAAGAATTTCGCAACGGGGTTTGTAATATACAGGATACAATTATAGGCGGTTATCGGTTGCGTGACAGGACTCCCAAAGAAGTTGAATAATCACTGCTTTTGCATGAAAAAAGGACTGATCATCTGAAAGACCATTTTTCACTTTTTGTTGCGAATTTATCTATTACACAGGTTATCTCGAAAGTCTCCCATATGACTGAAGTATTTGAACATTTCAAATATTTGACAGACATTTTATATTGTTATTAATCAGCACAAAACAAAGGAGTTATTTGGGATTTGATTTGATTGGGGGGTTTTGGGAATTTTCAGCAACAAAGGCTATTATCCCTTATTCACTCCAAAGTTCGTTTCAATCTGTAATAAAAAAAAATGAAAATTGCCATCAAAAGATGGGCTAAAATTATTGCCGATCCGATTCGATCAAGAGAAAAAAAATGGCACCCTCCTAGAAAGGCCTCCATATCCTTTTGTATTATTTGGGAGTATTCAAAAGTTGAAAAGTGGAATAAACGAAGACGCATTTCAGTGCTAGTATGAATTATATAACATTACGAATGTTTGAAAAATGAAAACTTACGAATGTCATTTTCTCCCAAAAATTGCTAAGCGACCTATTAACAGAAGGAAACAATCGTAATCCATTAACTTCATTTCCTAATTATATTTTTGCAAATCAATTATGAAACTACATGGGCCATCGACTGCCGCTGAATTTGTGGCTAAAAGAACAGTTTAAAAACTATACGCACAATCTGATAAGCGATATTTTAAACCGGTACAGGGGCCGGTCGGGCTTTTTGCAGGAAAAATTAAATTTTTATTTCATTTTAGCTGTCGGAAACTAGGAATTATATATAAAAAAATAGTAACCGGGAAAGCTAGCTAATTTTGTAACTACATTTTTAAATTTTGTCGTCTACCCCCTATACTCCTAACTACTTTTAGATGTTATAAATTTTTTGCCCCCCCCCCAACTTTTTCCACCCAAACGCCGGCCCTGAACCGTTATCTCCACCTTTGAAAGAATAAACAACTGAAATTTTCGACAGAAATTCAAATGTTGAATTAGACTAAAAATCTAGCAAAATTTGTCAAGTTTAGTCATGATTGAAACAACGGCTAATACCAATAAGGCACTTGAGTTATTAAAACACAATTACCAGCCGTTAATGAAATTAAGTGCCACTCGTAAATTATTAGCACAGCCCACCTTTTGTCTATTAAAACATAATAAGTTATTTTCAAATAGTACCGTGAGTTACAGGTGATAAACCAGTATAAGTTGACACTTGTAACTCGTTTCAGTCGGGGTGGGTCAATGTCCTATTCTTATTCTTATTTGTTTTTTTTTTTGCTCGAGGCAGGACCGAAGCGTTAAACTGAGTAATAATATTTCAACAATTTTACATAACATGGGAAATGCCGGCACACTATTTTGAAAAAGTTTCTCGTGTAAATGGAAAATTAGAGCTACTTAACATTTCGCACTTATTTTCATATAACGTAACAGCTAGAACCAATAACGACATATGACATTCTGTGACAACATACAACAATTTGAGAGCAGATATGACTAATCTATTCAAATGTTTTGCATCAATATAATGTTTCGATAAATATGAAATACATTTTGATATAAATTTGACGATATCATAAGCAATCCATCGCAAAATTAATTTCTAATTTTTTCCTCTGCTACGCTGTGTAAAAAAGAAATAACAGCCAAAAATTGTTAATACATCACCACAGAATCATACTAATAAGAATAGCATTGCAAGAATACACAAAAAAGAATGATCTATCAGACCGAATCAAATCAATCGATCGATTAAAAAACATTAAAAAAGGAAAACAACCAAAATCTCTACTTGATGATAAAAAAATCCACATACCTGACTGACTAATAAACACAGTAATCCATTATTTGAGTGGGGAATCCTGAAGAAGTCCGATGAAGTGATTCCCCGCCAAACGGTTACGGGTCGTGTGTTGAGCGGTCAGGATGACGGTATGTTGAGGAATGCCACAATGAACACGTGAAGACACGCCAGGCATGCCTAGAGGTTATCTGCGCTCGGAGGAGAAAGAAACCCGACGCAGATATAATTGAGGGAGACAAGATGCAAGGAGGAGTTGGTAAACAAAGCAACGACTTTAATACGAAGGAAACGAAAAAAAGATACCGTTTTTTTTATTATTGCGAGATAAGACAATGTTATTTTCGGTACTATTGATTCATCAGCGCTTTGACACATTATATGCCAAATACTATTTCACTTTTCCAAAAAAAATTACACTAATATGATAGCATGAAAGAAAACGTTATTTCTTAAATTTTTTAATTAAACTGATTAATTAGTTTTTAATTAGAATTAATTATCTTATTAATTAGAAAAATTATTTTTATTGAATTTGTACCTTTTTTAACAGTCGGCTCAACGTCCAGATGCAACAATCAACGCTAAAAATTGCACTGTTAGGTGAAAATAAAAAGAAAAACAAGCGCACCAAAAAGGGACAATGACAGATAATGGGTTCAGTGCAAATCGATGTCTCGGCTGATTTATTTAAAAGTTATTTTTCATCGAATACTTAAAAATCCGAGATAGACAATTGGAAACATCATTTGTGATATGCAAGTGGATTAATGGTATTTTTTATGTAAGCGAACATCAGATGAAACTATTTCATTTATTTACAACTATTTTATTGATTTTGTAAGTGATCGATGATTTGGACCACTTTCTTATGGAGATGATTCAGTTTAGTTACATTTACGTCCCGTTTTAAGGCAACA